TATATGTATAAAATGTTGGTTTGATTATCAATATAATATAGATCAGCAAGATAGATTATAATTAGGTTATTAATATCCTTAGATATAAAATACCCGACTTGTTTATCATTATGAATATGGAATTGGAACTGGAAGTACAAAAATAAGGCAATCGTTTATTATTAAAAATCTTTAGACGGATATAAATTATCTGAATAGATAATTCTCTGAGAAATCTCAAGCGAAAGGCTGTCATTTCAATTCTTTAACAAGATTAACTATGAGCAACCAAAGATTACAGATATTGGGATTAAACATAATTGTTCATAAAATGCTGGCATATATATAGTCTTAGCATAATTTTTTGAAAATGTTTAAGCTAATTTTTAGAGAAGAAACATTGTAAAATGCTTTGCAAAAGCATTAATTGTTTTTTTTTTTTGAACTCTATTTTTTATTTAGACAAAAATTGAGAATCAAAGATGCTATCAATTACGTATCAAAATCATGGAATGAGGTAGATCAAGCGACAATATTAAATTTTTGGAAAAAAACCGGCATCTTGCCTTTGGTATCTGCTAATGAAATTGAGAATGCTAGAGATGTATATCAAGAGTCTATTAAGCAAGAGGTGAATTAAGTTGACGACTTAGTTTATGATTTTACTATTCAAAATACGGATTCATTTGTTGAACAAGATTTTAAAAAATTTTTGGAGATTAATAATAGATATGTATTTACGAATGAGAAGCTTGATGATGAGCAAATTGTGGAAATTATTTTGGAACAGAATGAACAAGAACAAGGTGATCCTGATGATACTGATAAAGAGTCAGTACAAGTTTCAATTTTAGAAGGATTAAATGGGTTAAAAACATTTATTGCATTTTTTAAACAACAAATGAATGTTGCCGATTTTTATACTAATGATTTAAGAATTTTCCGTAGATATTTACATACAATGGAGTTAAAAAATAATAAATCAAAGAAACAGAAGTCGATTAGAGACTTTTTTACAAGTGAAAATTCTTACTATAGCATTAGCGATTATAGTGGTGAATAACTATAATATTACGGTAGCATTATAATAGTGAATAATGTTTAGTATATAGGATAGTTTATAAATAAAAATTTGTAATTTGAATACTAAATGATATTTTTAAATTTTTGTTAATGGTGTTATACTGCAAAATCATCATTGTAAACTTAAATTAATTGCATTTTTTTTTTCATAATTTTACGTAATTTATGTAATTTTTGCGTAAGATTTGTTAACGGTAAATTGGATTTTTCATGTAAATGTAATTTTTATCACATGATGTATGGCTTTTGCGATCAAATTTTCAACGATTTGAGGAGATAAAATTCGGTACATTAATACCAAACTTTTGTAAAGCTGGCACTTTATATAAAACACAAAAAATTTGATTTACGTAAAAGTACTGTACATATGTAACTTTCGTAACACAACCCTAATTGTGACTGTGATTGTGATTTCTAAAGCCGGCCAATTTATAAGTTTGTGTCAAGCTCAAATTTGTGATAAATTGGCAGGCGATCGCAATCAAAATTATTTAATTATAAAAAAAATTAATCATAGGGGTTACAGAATTATGCAAACTGCAATAATAAGAACAAGTTCGAAAAAGATTTCAGTATAATAAAATAAAATTGATTTTTATCATAGATAGCGATAGCTTAAAATTGATCATACGATTTATCAATAACGAAGCTATTATTAAATTACTGTAATAACTTCAACTTTTTTTTGCTTTTATTTTAAATTTAATTACAGTATATTAATATTTTTTGTAAAGTAAATTATTTTAACATTTAAATTTAATTAATTTTGCAATGCTAGTTAAATCAAATTAACAGTTTAAACTATAAATTATATTACATATTAATTATGTTTTTTATAAAACCTCTATATAATCACATTGTGTAGATATTGTTTATATATGTGATTATATAGAGGGAACTTTGGTTAATTCTATTTAATCACACCTCTTTATAATCACTGATTTTGTATAAAACAAAAGTGGTGATTATATAGAGGGATGACTGTATACAAAAAGCTACTAGCAAGTATACCAATTTGAAAAACCTTTAAGGACCAATTATCTGATTAAATCAAATTAATTGATAATCTGTGAATTAACAGAACAAAACATATAGTATAACATGACTCAGATTACTATATAAATTATATATACTTCAAATGCTATGATCACCCAAAGAAAACTTTTTTTCTTATTAAGCTAATCGATCTTCTATATTATGAGAAAGTTGTAGAGCTTATTAAAACACATCTAATAATGATTAGATCATCCAAATCAGCTTAGTGATATTGAAATATCATTAAAAAATATGTTAATAACTATGTAAAATTTCTATAGAAATGATATATTGAAATTTTACATAGTTATTATTATGTTTTTTAATAATATTTTAACAGCAACTAGGCTGATTTGGATGATCTAACCACTATTAGATGCAATTTAATGAGCTCTACAACTTTTTTATAATACAGAAGGTCGATTAGCTTAATAAGAAAAATGTTTTCCTTGGATGATTATAGTATTTAAAGTATATATAATTCAGGGATGACAAATGATCAGGTCTTTTGTTTGAACCCAAGACTAATAAACCAATAGACCAAGTTTATTGGTCTTTAGGTTATAACCAAATGACCATTCATATAATACATATTTACCAATAAAAATTTTTTATTTTTTTAAAAAAATTTATTAATTAATGACTATTTATATAAGACTACACAAATTTAATATATTGGTTTTCATAATATAAAACTTTTAAACAGACCTGGCTGGCCAGCTTTTTTATTTTAAATTTTATATATAATAATTTATAAAATTTTTTTAAAAAATTTTTAAAATATCCACCCGGTTATTAAAATATACAAAAATTTTTTTTTACAAATTTTCAAATTTTAATCTAGCTGGGTTATGAAAACCAATTAATTAAATTTGCATGGCCTAATACATATTGTCAATAAGAATTCTTTGAAATAAATAGTCATTTGATGGTCTATTAATGGTCTATTCATTATTCATCAATAGACCAAAAAATAAAGACCAAAAAACCCTATAATCTATTGGTCTGTGATCTTTAATATGTTATCCTTAATGTAATTTATATAGTAATCTGAGTCATGTTATACTATATGTTTTGTTCTGTTAACTCACAGATTATCAATTAAAAAAACCTTTAAAACTGATTATTTAATTAAACTAAATTGAAAATTATCAAGAATAAATTGTAAATTATGAAAAGAAATAGTTTAATAATTAGAAGAAAATAGTTGTAAAACACAAAAACAAATAAAAATATAAATGAAATACAGAATAATTTAATAAATTTAGGCTACAGATAATAGTTTAAGCTAATAATTCTGTAATACAATAAGTAATTATTATAGTAAAAAGCATGAGATAAGGTTTTATCTTAACAAAAAAAAAATTTGTTTTAATTATAACTAAAAACAAACTAGTTTATAAATATTGCATTTAAAAATAAATTAGTTCTAATCTGATGTTGCAATTAGTTGTATACATATAATTAATAAAGACCATATCGGCGGATTTGCAGTCTAATAAATATAGAAACCCATCAGTTATAATTCCAGTCAAAATTGTCGATCACTTGACCAGAACTGGCGTTAAATAATTTAAAATTTGGCCAAATGATCGACAATTTTGACCAGACTGCGCAGATCCGCCAGCAAAAATGCCATCTAAGAGAAAAAAA